AGAAGAAAATGAAGAAAATCTCAAGCATTGACTCTGCAGGTTTCCAAGTTCTCCAGTTTCACCTGAATTAAGGTGATGCTCAGCAAAAAAACCCACAAGCTGTCCATCTAAGGGAATGCATTGTTCCTTGGAAGCACAGGGATAAACCACTGGTCTCCACTATCCAGCTATTCAAAGCACCTGCAATAACATGGCACAGGAAGAAGTTCAAATGAACTGATGCAAACACATCCACATGGATCCGAAATTCAAAACCCAACACCTTTGTGTGTGGCTTCCAGCAAGATCTGGGAATTTTCCTGGGCTCAGGTTACTGTTAAAAGCAGCACTGGATTTATTCAGACCCAAGGGATCAGGACTGTTGTGAAAGATGGGATTTAGAGATTCAGTCCCAGCCCAGGTGCCTCTGGTGAGGAGTTTAGATGCTTCCACATAAATGGAAACATATCCATGTGAATAGATATTTGATAATGCAGATGTTTTCCCACCAGGTTACTGAAATTCTTGCTTCTGGAAGGAGAGAGGACTCACCAGGAAACCTGCAGCTTGTTCTGAAAGGCACCAATGTGGGAAGATTGAGATTTGCTCTTTCCCACCCCATTAGGACTCAGGTGAGGAAGGAGATTTATCCAGCTGAAAGCACAAGGCAAAATTAGGAAGACAGAGTGTAGTCAAGCTAATTGTGGTTTCCTACCCCAACCAAAGCATAATTAACAACAGCTGTCTATAAATATACTTTTTTTTTTTTTTGCTGTCTGAAGCTCCATGGACACTTCTCCCATTCCCTTTGTCTGCAGAGCTCTGCTCTGCCATGGACACCTGCCAGTCTCCAGCAACTTTAGGCAAAGATCAATCCATTTTCTAATTAGAGGTGTGAATTAGGGAAGGTAAAATGGCCATTTTAAATACAGCAGGCCCCAAACAGTAACTTCTTGGGATGCTGCATTTCCAGAGCCTTTCCTTTGTAGTCTTTTCAAGCTCTGCACTCTCATCCATGATTTATGGTGTCCAGGTGCTCCTTGGCAGTACTTTCAATGCCTGTGCCCATAAAGAGGAAAACCTTTAGTGTATCTTGAACTTGCTTTCAAATTTTATTATAAGAGTTCTTGCATTTGTCCTTCATATTTACAGTTGTTTTTTTTTTAAAAATATAACCTCAAACTGCCTTCTCCTACAGGATAATGAAACGAGCATCTCATTAACGAGTCACATGAACTTCCCCCCCATCAGAACAAGCTTAATTCCACCATAATTCCCTGCCTGGGTACCAAACCTTGTTGTGACAGCCCAATTAGTTCTGCTGACAACATTAGGGAGATGATGATTATTTGAGAAACACACCTTGCAAGTCTGATTTCCATGCAGCCCTCTGGTTAACAGGGATATTTCTGCTTTAATAGAAGGAGACATCAAAAAGCATTTCCCCACACCAAGGAATTCAATGATTGTGCTGACATTTAATACAACACATGATAAAGAGACGAGCTGGAGTAAAAGTCTGTCACTGCTCCTCACACAATATTATTTATGGCTCTATACAGGCCCAACTCCATGACATTAGCAGACAGAAACCTTAATACCTTGTGACACAACTGGGTTGAGCCATCTAATATCTCCCACAAATCCTTTAGAAACAAATATTCCTTCAAATAATTATGCTGTTCCAACATATTAACTTCCCAGACACCAGCAAAGGATAAAATGTCCTGTTTTAGGGAAGACCAGTGATAAGACTTGTCCGTGTCCTGGGCTTCGAATCAAAAGCCTTTAACATTAGGATCACACTCTTCACTGAATAAATATCAGAGAAATAAACTTGGTGGAACAATATATTTTTCCATGCTCTAAAAGAATGAATTTTAAAAAGGACCTAGAATAGGAAACTACAACTCCAGGGGGAAAAAAATAATCAAACATCAACCAGGTCACTCATAATCTAATGTCAACTGTTTCAATTAAAAAAAAAAAAGGGGGAATGCTAATTAATCGAGTAGCAAGCTGCCAGGGAGGTGTGTAGTGGGAACTGTGAGGAGCTGTGTTATTCTCTGTGTATGTTGATTAGAATTTTAAAGAAAATGCAATGTTTCTCCCAACCCTATTTCCCCATTAATAACCCAGGACATGAAATCTGTCAGGCTGTGTCTTAGATCCTCCCAGATGTTGAACTCACTCAGCTTATGTGCTTGAGAGATGGTCTGCAATGTTACTGTCCTGAGAAGGAAAAGGAACTTCATCAGTGAGAGGTGAATCTCTGGGTTGCAGAGGTTTAACACACAATGCAGGTTTGGCTGAGCTAAACTTATCCTCCCTTAATTACATATTCCTGGTATGCAGCTTACTCCCACCTCCTGCAGCACAGATAATTGCCCCTTCCCCTCACATCCCTCTCTGATCACTGCTGTGGATGGAAAATGTAAAAGAAATGTTTATCACAAGGGAATTATTTTCATTCCTTGTAGCAAACCAGAAGAAAAGGGCCAGCCCCAAGCAGCCCTCACTGCAGAAAGGAGTGAATGACTGGGTCTTAAAGCACCTGAACAATGTGTAGGCTGTTTATTCCACTGGGCTTTCCACTCCACTGCATCAATGCATTTCCTCACTCTCCTGCAGCACTGTGGATCTATCTCATTACGCTGGCCAACCTTTCTTTTTATTACATACATATTTAGATGCAGCACAGAGTTGTCTCTTTCAAGAGACGTGAGATTACTGCTGAAACCATGGGCTGCACTTCATCCAATGTGAGAGAAGACAAGATGTGTCCCAAAGATTTCTGCCAAGCGGAGGCCTTGGCCAGTCAGTCCAGATACAGCATGAGGGGCTTATCAGGCTAAAACACCTCAGTGACTGCAAGTGCCAGACAACACACTGTGCATCTCCTAGAACTGGAGAATCAGCCTCTCTTGCCAAAAAGAACCTCACCAAAACAGAAAAAGTGGTATTGCCAACCTGAAATAGCAATATTAGAACAAGATCCCAGGGTACAGAAGAGCTGGTTTTATCATGATGGAAATTGTACCTGAAAATACAAGTAGATTTCATGACCTGAAATACAAACATTTTGTCTTTATTTCCATGAAGTGTCACATCTGAGGGTGCAGCCACAGTACAACCAGCACCCCAAGCCTCAGCCAGCACCTGCAGCCTAACAACCGCTGTATCACAGGGTCACTGAGGTTGGGAGAGACCTTAAAGGTCATCCAGTCCAACCATCAACCCAGCACCAACCCTGTAACCCCTAAACATCTAAACCACATCACCCAGTGGCAGATCCAGATGCCTCTTGAATGCCTCCAGGGATGGTGACTCCGGGACCTCCCTGGGTGGGGGAGTCTCTCCCTGTTCCAATGCCTGACTACCTAACAGTGAAAATCTGTTTTCTAATATCTAATCTGGATCTCCCCCGTCTCAGTTTAAGGTCATTCCCTCTTTCCTCTCACTGCAGGCACAGCAAACAGACCAGACCCCACCTCACCACAACCTCCTGTCGGGGTTGGGGGGGGAGTTGTACAGAGCGATTCTGTTGTCTTGGAGAGAAAGAATTACAAGTGTCTTGAGAACCATCTGTGTTCATCCTGTGGGATGTGATACACTGTCCTAATGGTAAAAGAGTAATTTAAAAGTAATTTACTTTAAAATTTTACATTACTTTAAAAAGTAATTAATTTAAAAAGTAATTTAAAAATTAACTGCTGTTTCTCTTGGCTTTTCTGTCCTAATGGCAAAACAGAGCTGCAGCTGACCTGGAGCGTTGGATGTTTTCAGCAAAGTCATTGTAACGCTCCATGGCCAGCCCTTTAACCCGTGTTTTTGCAATGATTTCTGATGTTTAATATGTGTAACAGGCACGGCTCGGTGTGGAGGGCCTGGTGGAGGTGCTGGGCAATCCCGCAGGGCTCCCATTTAGCCTGTTCTGCTCTCCCCGTGCCCAGCCCAGCACACAGCTGTGTGGCTGTCCTGGGCTGGCTGCTGGGCACCAATGCTGTCAGTAAAGTGCTCTTTATCCTGGTTTGGAAGGAGGGTCAGGAATTTTGGGAGTGCCTGGCGTTGCTGATTCTCCTCTTTTGGAGACTAAACCCCCCCCAGCTCCCTCAGCCGCTCCTCACCAGCCGAGTGTTTGAGGCCCTGCCCCGCTTCTCTGGGTACGCTCCAGCGCCTCGGTGTCCTTCTAAAAGTGCAGGGTCCAAGGCTGGACAAAGTGCGAGTCCCCAACTCCCTCACACCCGGAACGGTTTAAAGCAGGACCGGCCGGCTCGGGGGCGGGACAGCCGGGGCTGCCCCTCGCCTCGCCCCATCCCCGCTCCATCCCCGCCCCATCCCCGCCCCATCCCCGCCCCATCCCCGCTCCATCCCCGCTCCATCCCCGCCCCATCCCCGCCCCATCCCCGCCCCATCCCCGCTCTGTCCCCCCTCCATCCCCCCCCCTTGGCGGCCTGGGCAGCCGGGGCTGGGTAAGGAGCCGTCCCGCAGGCGGTGAGGGGGGAAGAGCAGCTCCCGCAGCCCGTGAGGGGGAACAGGGACGCGGATGAGTTATCGGACACGGAGCTGCTGAGAGAGTCCCGAGGAGGCCCTGGAGCTGCTCCAGGGCTGGATCCCTCTGCTCTGGAACCAGGCTGGGACAGCTGGGGGGGTTCACCTGGAGAAGAGAAGGATCCAGAGAGACCTGAGAGCCCCTTGCAGGGCCTAAAGGGGCTCCAGGAGAACTGGAGAGGGACTGGGGACAAGGGATGGAGGGACAGGACACAGGGAATGGCTTCCCACTGCCAGAGGGCAGGGTTAGATGGGATATTGGGAAGGAATTGTTGGCTGGGAGGGTGGGCAGGCCCTGGCACAGGTTGCCCAGAGAAGCTGTGGCTGCCCCTGGATCCCTGGAAGTGTCCAAGGCCAGGCTGGAGCAACCTGGGCTGGTGGACCAGCCATGGCAGGGGTGGGACTGGAGGGGCTTTAAGGTCCCTTCCAACCCCCTGCCATGGGCAGGGACACCTTCCACCAGCCCAGGTTGCACAGTGGTTACAGCAGATAGAACTTTACAGTTGTTGTAAAACTGTTTAAAATTTTCCATAAATAGTTTTATGTGCTACTTTATATACTTACAGTTTATTACAGTTATCTGCTGGTATTTTGACAAACAGCTGCTTTCCCTGTGGAAATGAGTGAGATATTATGAAACATTTCTCACTCAACAAGTCTTATTACTCACCAAAATTAATTTTCTTACTTCTTAACCCTCTCTATGCTGCTTGTGCAGCTGCCACTTGGGTCAGCTGGGGGCTGGAGAACTAATTCATTGTGTTTGCAATTCCTATTGTTTTCTTCAGCACACCAGACCTTAATGACCACTGACTAAGTGGTGGTGTAAGGAACAAAATAACTACTTAGTGTTTATTAATATCTCCAGTTCAAATCAGAACAATTCTTTTAGTTTTTGGCACCACATTAAAAAAGGAAACCTCTGGACTTAGAGATTTGGGACTGCAGCTGAGTTTTGGAAGTCTAAACCTGGGAAGGAAGGGCTGAATTTGTTTTAGGGGCACAAGGTCTTTACAGAGTGTGCAGAAAGATTTTGGCAATAATGGGGTGAGTAAAACAGGCAGCAGAGCATGTTCAGTAGGGAAATAGTCAGCACCTTTAAACCAAAGTTGCCTAAACCCCAAGTACAGGACAGAAAGTGCCTTTTTCTTCCTCCTATTATCACACTGGATTCCTATCTCTCTGGTGGAGGAGCTGTGACTGCTGCCAGCATCTTTCCAGACATGTTACCCGCATATTTACTCTCCTTGCTTAATGGGAGTTGGGAAAAAATTGAGACAAAATTGTTTGGGACAAAGTTATTTAGGTCCTTAAGTTCCCAGGAAGAAGAGGTATTATTCTAATTAAAAAAGGATAAAATAAGTAAGAACATAGCCTTAAAATAAATCTGTTGCATGATAAGTTTCCATCTGAGGTCTGTTTTGTGCTTGGAGCTTGTATCTGGAGAACTTTATGTATTTTTCACTTTAGGAACTTGATCCTTCATTTAAGAGCACCAGCTGGCTCATGCTTGTTGTGTTTTTTAATTTCTAGAAGAAATTTAGGCAGAACAAGGAGATTATGTGTTTTGGAGTGCTGAGAGGCCTCAAAATCTGAAAGCAAAAATTTACCATTTAATTTTTCCTTTTTTTTTTTTTTTTTTTGAAGGGGAATGCTTCTGTCCAAGTGTTACTGTAATTCAGTGCAGGTTTGAAAGGAATGCTGCCCAGGATTCTGGCTGGTGCTGATTGTTACTGTGCACTTACCCTGTGGATCTGAGCTTGTGCTTTGAAGGTGCTGCCTTGATCCAGTGGCTGAGTTGTGATTTTATCCCCCTGTTATGGGAGCTAAATGAGGTGTGAGCTGGGCTGTGACAGCTCTCCATCTGTCCCCTGTGCTGTAAGTAATCCTACCCCTCTCCCTGAGGAATCCAACTTGTTTGCTGCTGTTTTTTCTTGCAGTGTTGCCCCGTGGGGACTGTCCCTTCAGGGAGCTCTGGGAGCCACCCAAAGGGGTGGATGGAGCTGAGCCAGAGTTACAGCAGCTCTGCTTTTGACTATTCAGAAGATACCTTTGAGTCCTTCAGCGAGGAGATCAAACCATCTGGCTCCTGCTGTCCCCCAGAGGATTGGGAGGGCTCAGATGTGTTGGAAAGCACGTCATGCTTGGCAGCCCAAAGTCATGCAGGTATGAAGAGCTTTCTCTCCCAGACACCTCCTTTCCCAGCCTCACAGCAGTGCTCTGGGGACTCAAATCAGCAAAATGAACATGTGAAGATGGCACCCAGGGTTCCTGCCGTGCAGAGGAGCAGACCCTTGGTGTGCTGACCAGCTCTGTGCTCCCAGGGTTCGCCAGCAGCTCCGCGTGGAGCGATTGTGGCCGTGGAAACCCTCCCTCTGTAATCTCCTGATGCTGAAGTTCTGTTGGCATCTTGAAAAAAAACTTTCTGTGAGTTGTCTTGAATGAGTTACCACATCTGAAAAGTAGCTGGGCTGTAGAAGAAGTCTTCCAAGGGAAAGCTCCAGGGTTTGAAATACTGGGGAAGGCTCGATTCCCCACCCAGCCTGGCCCTGAGCACTGCCGGGGTGGGGCAGCCTCAGCTTCTCTGAGTGGTGAGGAAGCTGCATTAGGTGAGGGATAAAGCAGCTAAATGTCCTGGTAGGATTTCTTTTCTCTCTGTAGGGTTCTCTGTCATTCTTCTGTCTTCTCCTTTTCTCCGAGTTTGGTCTGGTAAATCTTGTGAGTACTTATAGAGATGAATAATTTTTTAATTCAGTTTGGGAGCTTGCAGCATATATAAACCTTATAGCTTTAAAGATTAGCTACAACACTTTTAATGTATTTTTAAAGGTAGCGTAAACAAGATTTATTTTAATGTCTATTGACTGTTAGTTTTGTGATCTGGTTCTGTTCAGTTCAGCTTGGTCAGCTGGCATATACCAATTTATAATGTTAATTATATATTATAATATCTATTTTATATATCATAATTATATATAATATAATAGATAGTGTTAATTATAGTTACTAACTGTGGTTTCATATTGGGAAGCTGTTTCTTTTCCTGCTGTAGACAAGTCCAGTAGAGATGTTCCTCCTGTCCCTCATCCATCCAACATTTTACTTGAGATTTGCTCCACTCTACAGTAATAACTGGCACCATTATCATTAGGAATCTTTTAAAGATACTTTTTAAGCCTGAAATTCCTACCGTGGAGGCCAAACTTTGCTGTTAAATACATATCCATGAATGTAAACCCTGTTTATGAGAGCACAGAATTCAGCACTAGAGATCAGTGCTTCAAAAATGGGAATACAGAGGTGATCGTTGTCTTGCTGTCAATTCATGATACAGTCCTATAATTGAGCAGTGTCTGACTTGTGTTTTTTGCTTAAAATTTTTGTAGTTTTACAAATGATATGTTTTAATCCCTCCCCCCCCCCCCCGAAATATAACAAGATTCTTTAAATTTTTCCATGTCTAACGATTGAAATCCTTATTTCTGATATCAAGGAACACATGTTAGGAGTCATCCTTAGTTTGTGCATAGAGGTTTCTTTAATAAGTGTTACCACTCTTTATCTCTACAAGGTTAATATTTCTTAAAATCAGAGTCTTCTGAATGCTCTCAATTAAATGAGAAACTGGGGAATAATTCACAGAGAATTTTTTTGGGGGGGAATTGATTGCTTTCTGTGGTATATATTTTCCTGAGAGCAATATATATAAATCATAAAACCCACAGAAAGCCTGTCATGCTGCTGCTCCCACAGGGACACGTTATTTCCTTGTCTAAGCCCCTGGAATTTGCTGATAGAACCCTGAAATCAGAGCAGGGAGATGAAGTGCTCCCTGTTCTGAGTTGGGGCCATGCCACGTGCACTGTGCTGTCACTGGCAGGGACTTCTCAGACCTTCCAAGTGTTTTGTCCTTTCCCAGCCCTTTGCTTTGACATCTTTGTGTCTCCTCAGTTCCTGCAAAACTGGAGTTCCCACAATCCCAGAACGTTCTGGGTTGGAAGGGACCCACAAGGATCACTGATTCCAACTGGAACAAGCTGGAGAACAAGGAGCCGATACAGAATTTTCATTTCCCTTGTGCCACCTGATTTTGCACTTGGATCAATACCCTGAGACAGCTCAGCTGAGTTCCCAAGAGCTTGTGGCCATGAAAGAAAGGGCTGCAGATAACTGATAGGGCTGAAGGAGGGAGGGGAGATTAACGTGACATTACAGGTCAAATGGGGTGTGTGAACAGGCTCCCATTTTCTCAGTGAATCCTGGTTCGGTGGGGTGATGAGGACTGAGCAGTGGGAGGGATTTTAAGGGAGAGAAGCTTGTTTAGCTGAAATCCCTGGTCTCATCTGTGTATTCCCATGGCTTGGGGTTTCTTTTCCCTCCCCAGGGCAAAGTGGTCTGTTCCAGTGGAGCATTGTTTGCTTTTCTGCACTCCTGGTTTCCTCACAAGGTGTGTCCAAAGTTGCCTTTTTTTCATTGCAGAGGAGCAATCTGAAGGAGTGGATTCTGCAGCTCTGGAAAGAGTTGCCATAGGAAAATGGATTGATGCCATGGGAAGTTGGAGAGATCTGAAAAATAAAGAAGCTGAGGTTAAGCAAGACAACTCTGTCATCGAAACTCATGCTGGTGAGTTCAGTTGCTTCAGTAGAGGTTGTAATAATTTCTTCTGAGAGGGGATGTAAACTTTAACTGGATTTAAATTTTATATACGGGCTATTAAGCCAGATAATTAGCCAAGTAATTAAATACAAAGTTTCTCTTTTAGGCTTCCTTGGAAAGCAGTTTGTCTCCCATACACACATGGGTTTGATGCTCCTGATATATTGGCATTACCAAGGGATGCATTATCACAGAATTGGGATAAATGCATTAAAAAATGTACCCACATTTTAAATTTAACTGTAATCCTCACATTTTACTGGAGTGTTAAGGTTTTTTTCTCTCCAGCTTTCTCTTTCAGCTCCAGTACCAGTACAGGTATTAGAAGCGTGGAGTTTTTCCCTCCAAAATAAACATGACTTTGGAATTTATTGTGTGAGGTGTTTTTCCCCTGTTAATCAACTTTGTGGATTATTGAGTTACCTGTTTGCCCTGTTTTAATTCCCTTCCCAAGCTGAGGGAGGCAGCAGGGCACCAATTTTGGCCAGAACAATGGAGCAGCTTTAACCACCACAATGATGGAGTGTGTGGAGGAGGAGGAAAAGGGAAGGGAGGAAGGAAGAGGATGCCTTTCCATGTACTGGTTACACAAGCAACTGGGAGAGCAGATGGTGGGATGCAAGTCCTGCTAAAGTCTCTCTCAAAAGTGTGTCAGAGATGCTATTTTTAATTAAAAAAAAAAAAAAAGAAAAGAGCAAGAAAGCTGTAAATTGAGCAAAAAATTAGTGGAAGCAGACGGGGAATCTTCCTCAGTCTGTGTGTTCACGGGAAGTGAACAAGCTCAGGAGTTTTGTAGGTCACCTGTAAGACTGATTAACCAGGAGATCCTCCTGCCTGGGCACTTTGTGGCACAAACATCCTCAAACCATCCTAGAAAAACAGGAGCTAAGGTCATCTCTAGGCTATTCTTAATTGTTGAGCTCATTGCCAGCAGTGGTGAGTCAAAGCTGTGAGTTCCTGACTCATCTTCTGCATTTATCCTTGTGTTCCTGCTTTCCCAAGGCTGCTGTGCAGGCTTTTGGTAGAGCAGCTTATCTGTAGTAGAGAGGCTTGTCCTGGCCAGCTCCTCAGAGCTGATGTTCCTAAAATACCTCAGAACCCCGTGGCTGATTCATGGAGAAATGAGAAGGGTCCTGAGGAGCTCCAGAGTGGCTGAATGAGGGAGGAACCACACTTTGAGGTTGAGGACGTTTTCCATCTCTGCTTTCCCTTGAAAGTTGCACTTGGGAGATTTTACTCATAGAATCACTTCCAGATTTTTGTGGTTCTGCACAAGGGAATGTTCTGCCTTTGGTGTATGGATGCTGATGGCTAAGAGAGGCCTTGAGCAGTTCTGTGCCATTCTCTAGTGCTGATTTATGGAGATGTTGCCTTCTGCCTGTGCTGTCCCTTGGCATTGTAACAGCAGTGCTCCCAACCACATCAACAGGAAGAGCACAAACTGTGCTTCATGCTTGTCCATGTTATCCCCTCACTCCGCAGCAGCAACGATACTTTAGCCATGGACAGCATTTACTGCAGAATATCGATATACAAATGAAATAATGCAGAGCAGCTTTTGCACACTGGCATCTACAACTGCCTCCTTCTCTGACTCAGTCACTCAGTGCTCAGGAGCTCCCAAGCCTTGTGCTGTTTTAGCAACTTGGAGATTTTTTTAAAAAATATAATAGAAGATGAGCTCACAGAACTAGATTTGCTGCACATTGAGTCCCCTCAGTACACTCAGCAAAGTGAATTATGTGTGCACTGAGCATGCAGGGTACTTCTGAATTTGTCTTTGTAATAGACCCTTTTTCCTTATCCCTATCACTAACAGAGAGGGGGAAAAAAAGTTCTGGTTTGCCTATGGAGATGTCCTGGAATGTGATTCTTATTTCTTCCTAGTTTTCTTTGTGGGCTGGAAGAAGAAAAACCTGAATGCTGGCCTTGGGGGAAGGGAGAAATTTTTGTCATGGTTCTATTTCCTCTTCTCTGTTCCTCTTCCCCCAGAGTTATTAGGCAAAATGCATCACCACGTGACTCTAAATCCCCAATTCCATATAGATGACTCCAAAGATCTTTTTAGTCATCTTTAAAATTTACTCAGCAAACTGCAATTCTTCAGCTTGGATCTGTCTGAAAATTCAAGTGGGGCTTTTTAACCCCAGGAGTGGTGCTGGGCTCACAACTTTGGTCTCACCATACATGAAATGCTTTGCTTGTTTATTTTCCACTGCACTATTGCTGTCAAAAGTGAGAGAGCCTGAGATGTTAATGTATGTTATTTGGAGGCCAAGAAATGTTTGAGCAGCATCAGTTTTATGGCTCAGATGCAGTTCAGTCACTCAGTTGTTATTGTTACTGTGACTGTGCTGTCAAGCTAAAAGTGAAAAAGGCCCTGAGATTCCAGACTTGTCTTCTGATTCTGTAGTTAAGTAGAATTAACATGGGCTGGATGTGGAAATTCCAACCAGCAACACTTCTGTGGAAACCCTGCTCTGGAGCCAGGCTGGGACAGCTGGGGGGGTTCACCTGGAGAAGAGAAGCCTCCAGGGAGACCTGAGAGCCCCTTGCAGGGCCTAAAGGGGCTCCAGGAGAGCTGGAGAGGGACTGGGGACAAGGGATGGAGGGACAGGACACAGGGAATGGCTTCCCACTGCCAGAGGGCAGGGATGGATGGGATATTGGGAAGGAATTGCTGGCTATGAGGGTAGGGAGGCCCTGGCACAGGTTTCCCAGAGAAGCTGTGGCTGCCCCAGCCCTGGAAGTGTCCAAGGCCAGGTTGGACGGGGCTTGGAGCACCCTGGGCTGGTGGAAGGTGTCCCTGCCCGTGGGATCGAAACCATTCCATGATTCTACGATTCACTGTGCTGGAGGAGTTTAATTTGCTTTAAATTCCTATTTGTGAGAAATAACCCAATAGTTCAGCCTGGTTAGGTCAGTTCTGTGTTACCTGCAAGGATCTTTCACAGACTGTTTGCTGTCAGCATGTTACCCTGACCTGTTGCACTTAGCTGTTCAAAGCACTTCAGATAATCATGAAGGTCTTTAGATGCAGAGGGAAAATCTTTCTGAAGAGTAGTTACCAATTCCTGCCTTGCACAATTCTCTCTTTTTTCCTTTTTTTCTTCTTAAAATAGAGTATCAGTAGAGCATAATAGCAAAATGCCTGCCAATTTTCCTATTAAAGTTAGTTTCAAAGGGAAAGGAAACTCAGGAAAGACTTTCCCTCTTTCACTCCCTCCCCTCACAGATTTAAAATGTCACAGAAAGCAAAATTTATGTAGGTCACTTAGTTACAAAGCTCCCAGCAGGGTTTGGGGTGTAGACATGGGGATTAATTTATCTCTGGTGGTACACACCAAGGCTTTCTGTCATCACAGCAGCTTCTTGGGCCAGTTTGGGGCTTTACTTCCGAAATATTCCATGTTTTGTGACCTTCCTGCTGCATGAGAGGTGGCTCTGACTCGATGCCTGTCCTGGTGGAACTTCTGCTGCTCCTGTCAGCTCTTCTGCCTCCTCCCTCCTGCAGTCACCATCACTCATTTAATCATTCTTGTTACTGTGACTGTGCTGTCAAAGGCCCTGAGATTCCAGACCTGTCTTCTGATTTTGTAGTTAAGTAGAAGTAACATGGGCTGGATGTGGAAATTCCAACCAGAAATGGAAACCCTGCTTGTAAGGAGTTCATTAATGGAACTGGGAAAGAAGGAGTTTCTTCCAAAAGCCGTGGATTGTGCAGGGATCTGCCCACTGTCTGCTCCCTGCTGTTGCTGCACAGTGAGGAGGGTGTGGGGAGCACTGGCTGTGCACCAGGACAGTGTCCTTGTGGAGCACTGCAGGGATCCTCTGTGGGCACAGGGCAGGGACATTTCAATCTGCCACCCCAAATGGAGAAGGATCTGAGATGAAAAGGGGGGAATATGTGAGAGACACCAGGAATAAAACCAGGCAGTGCAGAGCTGAAGGACAAGTAAACCTTCTCCACCTGGGAGAAAACTGGAAACTGGGGTCAGTGTGCAGAGAAAAACAAACTTTCCCCAATTTAACTGTGTGCTGACTTTTCTCATTGGTTTTTTTTTTTTTGTTCCTATTTCAGAAAAATTATCATCCTTGATAATTTTTATTCTCTCTGGGATTACTGTTAAATGGAAATTAATATTAAGAAGTAACTTCAGGAACGGGTTGTGCAGGGAGATTTAAAAATTGCTATTCTCTTTGCTGGTGTTTTTTTCTGATGTCTGTAGGTGCAGATGAGCAAAGCATAGAATTCATGCATTATTAGAAACCAATTCTTAATAAAAATGCACTCCTGTATGTCAGGAGAACCTTAAGTGAATTAATTAGCCTGGTATTAAATTGTCATAGTCCCCAGGGCTTTTACTTATGGCTTTGAGTACTTAAATGCTTTTGTTCTGGGTTTTCCTCCCCCCATAATGGTAACTTTTAAACTTTTTAATTAATTCTATGTATAAATGAACATGCCCCTGTTTTTCAGTGTGATTAAGCCCAGAAGTGGCACATGATTTGCACTGTTTTACATTGCAATAGTAAGGAAAATCACCTGCTGACTGAAATGCTGGATTCCACTCAAATGTTTATGATCCTACAAAGCAAATTTGTTTTCATTAAATCACATTTTAAGGTATTGCTTTTCATTATTCATCTGTCTGTCTTTGCCTAAAGTCAGTTGGATATATCATCTTCTAAGGAGGAGAGAACTGCTCTGTGGTGCCCGATTCTGAACTGGTAGTTGTACTTAAATGACATATTTCCCATATTGTCCAGGCAGCAAAGCTCACTGATTCCTGCCTTGCCTTATGCCCTATAAACATCAGGTGCATTCCTGAAGAGATGCCCTTGCAGAATTCCACAGCTCTGGCTTGTCTCCTCAGGGCTGAATTCATCCCAGAGCATTTTGGGGCAGTTCTCCATTCCTGCTTTTTTAAGGCTCTGTGTTGTGGTTCTGCCAGGGTGTCCCATGGCACTGCAGTGCCAGTGGTTGTCAGACAGGCACTGTGGAACCTGCAGGAGAAATAAAACTGAATTTAACCCTGACAGGGGGTAAAACAATGTGGAGGGATTGTTTAAATTCTATAATCAGGCCAGGCAGTGCTGCACAGCCTCATTCCATGCTGATGCCCATGAAATACTGTATTGATTGTGGTTTAAGCCTGTGGAAAATCCCCCAAAAAGCGCTGAATGAAGTTGTAAATCCATCCCAACCCGCCCATCTGAAGGATAATCTCGATTTTATTTATTTTTATGTGCCACTGGGAAGGATAAGAGGAGATGAGAGAGGGGAAAATGTTTTTTAAACAAGATCTTATAAAGAAGTCAGGAAGTGATCGTCGAAGCTTTAGGGGAAAGTATTTTCTGGTGGAATTGCCTTTCCCCAGAAGAAAAAGAAGTGCCTGGCTGAGGTTGTAGGATCTGTCTGAGCTGTTCCAGTGACTTCCCCAGCCACTGCCTCTCATTTGTCTTATGAATTGCTCCTCAGAGCTCCCAGATGAAGAGCCCTCTTTAAATGTGAACTCATTTTGGTTGCAGTTTCAGGTAGGCAGAAGCCAAATCTGTATGAGGCAGTTATTGAAAGGCAGTTTATTTAGTGTCACAGCATTTAACTGCTGATATTTAAGCTGTGTCATTAGTAGCCTCATTCTTTCAGGTTCTCATCTCCTCCCCTATTTGGAGCATAGTCATAGAGACATTTATTGTGCAAGTTCCTACAGTTCTCACCCAGATTTTATATTTATTTTTCTTATTTTTCTATATATAATATAGAAAATATATATTATATAACATATATATAATATATAAAATATAGAATATTGAAATAGATAGAAAAAAATATAATCCATCCTATCCCACTCATCTGAAGTATAATATTCATTTTATTCATTTTTGCATGCCACGGGGAAGGATATGAGAAGATGAGAGAGGGAAAGATGTCCTTAAACATTATATTTATATAAATATAAACTTATATAAACTAATGTATAAATAAATATACATTAAGGAAATACGTAAAATATAAATATATAATATGTAATTTCATACTATATGATAAATAATTTATTATTCATATCTGTCATATAGCTAATATTTCTGTAGCCAGTATTTCTATTTTATTTTATATCTATAAAGAAATATATGTATATAGATATAGTTATATATATTTATATATGTATAGATATAGATAGATAGAGATATATAAATAGATATAGATATATATCTATATCGATATATAGATATATATCGATATAGATATATAGATATAGGAAGGAATTCTTCTCTTTCCTTGATACAGTAATTGACTTTTTTGTTTTGTTGACTTATTCCTGACAGAAATTCCTGAATTATTTGGTGGAGAACTGTATGCTCTCAGGTCCTTTTGCGCCAGGAAGATAAATGGGATGAAGCAGCAGCTGAGCCCTGAGCAGCCAAACGTGGGCAAGGCAAGGAAGCTGCAGGATGGAGTCCCAGCAGGGAAAACTGGGACCAGAGCTGGGAACTGCGTCGTTCCTGCTCGGCTGATGAACAGAATCCTCCTGGAAAACACCAGAGAGACTGTTAAACAGGTGAACACCAGGGAGCTCTGGGCTAAAGCACTGGGTACTGAAGCCATGCCATGAGCATCAAAGCAGGCAGAGCTCAGTGATGCCACACTCAGGCCTCTGAAAGAGCTTCTGGGCTGATACCCCAGCACTGATGGGTCTCCTTCCTTACACACTCTGCTAGGAAATAATCAAATCATCATCCAAAACTGCCTGCTGATAAAGTAATGATGTGTGTGACTGAGCCAGGCTGGGATCAGCAGTTACTGCACACACAGTAAGCCCTGGATCAGCTGAAGAAAAAGCCTTGTTTGCCGCTTATGTTGGTACCAGTTATTTATCAAATTATTCTGCATATTATTTGCTGTGAAGTCTCTGTGATTCCAGGATTAGAAGAATTCCAAAGGCAACCCCCCTGCTCACAGCTTTCTTAGTTATTAGGCAATATTAAGAATTAGAGCAGGTCCAAGAAAATCTTGGTGAGCTCAGTCCCTTGATTAAGAAACATCTCTATCACCTTTACCCAGTTCCAAGTGCTTTTCTTTTTCACCAGCCCAGTGGTTTTTCCCACCACAGGATGGACTTTTTGCCACAGCTCCTCCCGTCCCTCTGTAAAAGTAATTAAAGTAATACTTTTTAAAGTAATACTTTAAATTCAGCTTTGGTGTGAAAATTATTTCTGTTTAAATCTGTCTGTTTAAATTATTTTGAGATTTCAGCCATCTTCATTGTTTCACTGCATTAACGTTAACTTGCCTTCCAAATGTTGTAGAATTTTTGCTTCCTCTTTATTTGTATTATATTAGAAAATATATTTTCTAAATATTTTATATTAGAAAATATATTTCCTAAGAAAAGTAACTGCTCTGTTTGCTTCTGTCTTTACCTCCACACACATTTTTGTGCAGAGAAAAAGTCAAGGAAGAGAACAGAGAGGCTTGAGATATGACTTGCCAGGGTTGATTCTGCTGATTTTGGAGCAGCTTCCTGTGTTTGTGTAGCCAGATGGAATCAGAGTCAATGAAATCAGATAAAACTATGGATATTTCACAAAAGCACAAACACTGGCATTTGTGTAATGCTGTTAAATGCTCTTAAGTTTTCAGGGTGGATGAACTAACACAGGGGTGGGACTGGTTATCTTCCAAAGGGAGCTGTAGGATTTTGTTTGTAGGATTCTGTTTGTATTCTGCCTCAGAGCTGCATGTTTGAACTAATTGCTTCCCGGTTTATTTGCTCTTAGAATTTGTGAAGAGAAGCACAACCTGTGGTTGGTGTGGGAGGCCTTGCAGACACTGCCAGCAGAGGGACAGGCATGTAGAGATGGTGGAGTTATTGCTGACTAGGAAAGAATTTGCCTAAAAAGCCAGTTTTTGTCTTTAGACAGTCCCTCTGTCTGTATTTTTACTGATCATTCTTAAGGAGTGCCATCTCACTGGGACAGACACTGCTCATTGCACCAAAGTCTCCTCTTCCAGGTGACAGAAACCCAAATCCACGAGGCTTCTTCATGCCCTGACTGCCAGAAGAAGGAGGCAGAGCTGGCCAGGATTGCCTTTGTCAGGCAAAAAAAGACTCTGATGGAAAGTGCTTTAATCCAAGAGAGACTGGAAGAACAGATTTACTCCAGAGTAAGCAAATATTGTTAAAAAGATGCGTTAAATAATGTTTTATTAATATTCTGTAAGTGCTACAACCAAGGGATCTGCAAGGCAGATTTCCCCCTGATTGCTGGCAGTGAGATCAGAGTGACCCGAATATTTTGACAATTAATAAAATGCTTTAGGACCAACAGAGTGACCAAATCACCTGAGCCTGCCTGATTTATGGAAGCTGAAGGTCATTCCCAGGATGTCCTAGAACTGGTTCTGGGTCTCTCTTGGTTTTGCTTTCTGATGGGCTGCAAGACAAACTGGTAAATAAACTGGTGTGATAGCAGGTAACTGGGCCCATTCTGGCCTTCCTGGCTCATCCTTTGGGGTAGGAGTCTTGGAATAGGACCCTGCAAGATGTTATGGAGGCTGAGACCTTCTGGAGACCCTGAGATTTCTTCTTGGAAAAACTGTTTTCTGTCTGTGCCAGTGTCCCAAGGTTGAAGCTTTAGTGGGAAGTGCCTCTGGAGCAGATGGGAGGCAATGGAGCTGAGAGGCACAGAATTCCTTGGATCTTTCTGACGGAAGAGCTCTTCTCTCCCTTCTTGAAAGGGAGTCAGGTTGTTCCTGAGCAATGAATGAGTAGTGCCTTTCCGAAACTCTGAGATCTCTTCCCATGTTGTTGAGCAAGGTGGGAGTTTGTGTTGTACCACACATTCCCTCTTTACCTTATATTTCCACTCTCCTGATTTTTGACTCTCACTCCATACCTAAGATTGAAGAACTTGAGTATCAAGTGAAGCTTCACTTTTCTTCTTGTTTTCCTCCCTGCTGCCCTCAAAGGCCACCTGCTTTTCCTTTCCCCTCCTTGGGGAAGAAACCTGCTTTATGGAGCAGATCACTGGCCATGAATGTTTAAACAGGACCCTTTAAAACGGGACCCTTTAAACCCCCCCAAATTGTGCTGCTGAAGTGCTGCCCACCCAGCTGCCTTAGAGGGGCTGGATGGAGCTGCAGGTCTGGGATACAGGGCATGAGAAATGCCAGGAATACAAACCCATGTTTTCTTTCTGTTTCAGGATGTGCTCACACTTCTAGGAGAAGCCCTCAGAAGCTTTCCCAAACCTTCAGAGGATCCCAGGGCTTTGTGGCAAAGGCTGGAAGGTTAGAAAATGTGAGGCCTGAAAGTGGTAAAATGGCTCAAGGACATAAAGAGGTGGGAGAGTTGCACATGGAATACCAACTATTATGGATATAACCTGCTCTGGCAGTGATGAATGGGGTGGTGGTTTAATATTCCTGCAGGTGGAACCAGATATGTCCAGCATGTTGTGTCTGGGTTCTGAGTCAACTCTTCTTCTTCCTAAATGCAAATGTTGTGATATCTTTTAATCCATCTCTATATGTTTTTCGAATTACAGAAGGCAAGAGTTTCTATTATTAATCTGGCAAGTAATAAATATTGTTTTTTGTGGGATTGCTGTGGGATTTCAGAGCAGCTCACAGCTGCTTCCATCCGTAAGAAAAATGACTGATTCCGTTTTTCGGGGCAGGGAGGTGTAATTACTGCAGTTCAGCTCAGTCTTTGCCCACTGTCTCATGTTAAATTGAAAGTGAGGGCCCCAGGTGGAGGAGAAAAAAAGCAGGTTGCAAAGTAACTATAGAAAGCAATAAAATGAAAAGGGGTATTTATAGAAGTGAAATAATGAGACTATAACAGAATTTAATCAGCAAGGCAGCGGATGGCAACAGGACGAGAAATGATAATAAATTAATCATGGAATCGGTGGAGGAGAGGTGTCCAGGAGAGAAAAAACAACATGGATGAAAATTGGAATAAGATGCTGAATAATATTTTTGCCTTGGAATTTGTTGTAATTTTTCAAGATGACAAAGTCACTATCTTTGAAAGAATATATCTGGGCTTCAGGACACATGCAAATAAAATGGCTTTGTGCTGGGAGTCTCAGTGGGCTGGACACTGAAATAATTTTCCTAGTGCCTCAGAAGCCTGAAGCTGATGTGTGGGCACAGCACCTTTGGGATCAGTGATGGCAGCAAGAGCTCGTCCCGCTGCTCCTGCTGGGACCTGATGGCCTTGTGTGACCCACAAAGTTCCTGCCTCTCATCAGTCTCCAGCTTCCTGACTTTTAGGTCTCTGGAAATCTTGAAGAAATATCCTTACCTGTGAACTCTCCCTGAATTTTTGTTACAAAGCAAAGAGGATGAAATCTTCCCGTTGCATTTGATTTTTTCCCATTTTGGGACAAGAAAAACGCATTGTTGAAGTTGGGTTTGTGTTTTCTCCCTGTGTAGTTGTTCCCTTTTGTGTGCTCTGTGTTTCTACAAGTGCTAGAGGGCTGTTTAGCCTCTTGCTTTCTCCTCCCACAAATCAGTGGAAAACCTGAAGAGAAGTGCTGGATATGGAGGTGGGTGTGGGCAAAGTTCTGCCTCTTGGTGCTTAAAAAACCAGCTGGGAAAGATTCCACTGGGAGCTGATCCTGAGTGGGTCAACCCCCCCCCGCCCCACACACACACAGAGCCCTGAGTTATTCAGAGCTGGTTGTTCTTGCTGCTTGCTCAGCTGCTTGTTGTGGTTTCTTGCAGACAGGTTTAATAGTCCATCAGAAATGTTCCTCTAAGCTTGGCTTTCACTCTGAGCTGTCACTGCAGATTGTGGGGTTACCTGGGGAATGAGTAAACTCTGCTGGTTTCCTCCTCTTCCTCTGGAATCCTCAGAAATGTTGAAATCCCTTCCAGTCTCCCAAAGCTTTTCTTTCTGGATGCTCCATCACTGTTCCTTATTTGCTTTGCCCTGCACTCCCTGTTTCTCCTGAGCCTTTGGAATTCTTCAGCCATCTGCAAACACGAGGCCAAGGGCTCCCAGGGTTCCAGGTGGAGTCTCAGAAGGGCTGGCAGGCGAAGGAGCTGAATCCTCTGAAAGTGTCATTTTGTTGGTTTTGCCAATGAACACAGGTTTCATCCCTTGCAAAACCCACTAAAAGGGAGCTCCAGGACTCTTCTTAAGAACACAATCCATATATTTTGGCATTTTTCCTTTCATAGAAGCTTTGTAAAGATACTGAAATCCTTCTTTGCAGCTCCCGTGGAGCCCTCCTGGAAAAGCCCTGAACTGTGAGTTATTTGGGTTAGGAGGCTGACAGTCTCTGTGTGTAGAGTAGCTGTCATGCTCACACACAGTGACTGCACAGCTCTTGTTTGTATGCATAAATGTTACAAACACAGCTCAGGTAACTCCTCTGAAAAATCAAAGCAGATTTTGCTGCTGCCTCTTGGATGCATTTCCTGCTGCTCACTACACTTGTTTCATTTTTTTTATCAAGGATGACTCCAAGATCTGAGTGTTTGCCTTGTGTTTTCTTGTAGCAGCTCTTAGGGATGTACTATGGAATGAATGATCCAGACCTCTAAATAATTTATTTTATAATCCTGCAGCTTTTCAGGCTTGAGAGATCCAAAAACTCTTGAAAGGGAGGATGTGGGAAAGAGAGTAGATCATGTCTTTTCCTTTTTTCCCCCTCACAGGAGCTCCCCCTCCAGCAGCAGATTTTTCTTTTGATCCAAAGAAACACTCCAAAACTCTGATCAAGGAATATTGATTCATCTGCTGCCTTGTTTGTGCTTGCTGGGGTATGAAAGGACTGTGGTGGCTCAAGGGGGATTCATATGGAAAGCAGCTGTGGCTCAGCAACAAATCATTCTGCCTGGTAAAAATGCTTTGGAGCTTTATCTTTCTGGCCTTCATGCTGCACACACAGTTGCATTATTTAATCTTCTGAATGATTGGTGATGGGAGTTTATTGCTCTGAACTTTGTGCAAATAGAGGTTTATCACATTTATGTTTGTGTGTATGCTGATAACCACTTTTGTGATGTTATGCTTTATAACTGACCCTTTGGAGAAAGTTGTATTCTTCAAATTAAAATCAGTTTTCCTGTGCACTGCAGCAAGGGAATTTTCACTTCCATTTGCCCTTGCTTCTGCTGTGAAAAAAATGAGCCTGGCTGCCAGGCACAGTCATTCTATCCATCTCTTGGGCCATCTCTTTGTATCTCCTCTAGGATAAACTTCCATCTCCATCCCAGCAAGTCTGAATGGGAATGAAGTTTTAGTGTAATTAACTTGCCTGGATCTAAGCTGGGAACAAAGATGAAATGGTCTGGTGGAAGGTGTCCCTGCCCATGGCAGGGGTTGGAACTGGCTGAGCTTTAAGGTCCCTCCCAACCCAAACCAGTCTGGTATTCTGGGAAATTTAAATGATGATTTGCAGCTATTGAGGAAATATGTTGTGGTCCTACTGGTGCAGTTTAGGATCAGAGAATAGTTTGAGTTGGAAGGGACCTTCTAAAGCCCATCCATTTCTCTCCCTGCCATGGGCAGGGACACCTTCCACTAGCCCAGGTTGCTCCAACCTGGCCTTGGACACTTCCAGGGATCCAGGGGCAGCCACAGCTTCTCTGGGCAACCTGTGCCAGGGCCTGCCCACCCTCATTGTAAAAAACTTCTATATCTAATCTAAATCAACCCTCCTTCAGTTTAAAGCCATTTTCTCTTGTCCTGAGGTAGCAGGTCCTGCTGGGAACTTCGCCCCTATCTCATAGGCCCCCTTCAAGTGCTGAAAGGCCACAGGGATTTTTCCCTGGAATCTTCTCTTCTCCAGGCTGAACAACCCCAGCTCTCTCAGCCTTTCCTCGTGGGAGAGGTTCTCCAGCCCTCCAACCATCTCCATGACCCCCTTACAATAATCTTGAACCTTTTCCCTGAAGTTTTACTAAAAACTGGAACACTTCAGGCCGCCCTGGGGTCACTCCCTGCCCTTCCATAAACCCATCTCCACTCCTGGCGTTGGGCTGTGGGGAGAACCAGGTGGGTTTGAATTCTGGTTTTTCCCATAGCCAGTTGGATCAGCTTCCAAGAAGAGGAGCTGAACCATTTTACTCATATTGAGAGCTTAATAGAGAATTTTAAGCTGGTAGCACCAGGGACAAAGTTTTGCTGCTGGAAGGGATTGTGATCCCAGTTCCTCTTCGGTAAAACCCTGAGCTGCAGCTTTCAGGGCAGTTATCCCAGGTCATCCACAGATCCTCCAGCAAGAGCTGCAGTGCTTCCAGCCCTGTATTTTTAAAGCATTTTCACACATACTTGCATTCTTCAAAGTGTAATTTTATTACCACTCAGTTTGACTTTCAGAGAAGGAGTTTTCATTGTCTCCCCTCAGTGAGACACTGTGTGTGTGCAGATCACCCCCTGCCCTAGGGCTGGAGCCCTGAATGCCACTGGCTTTAAAAAAATGGGCTGGAATCTGGGCAAAACAGAGACTAATCTTAGAAATACTACATTTGCATTGTTTTCATATCCCTTTTCCCTCCACAGCCAGCAGATTCTGGCTGTGCTGACAGGATCTGGAGCGGGGAGGCTGGGACATGTTTTGGGGTGGATCCCTTATGTCAATAAGGCACAAGGTCCTCCATCTTTTAAATGACCTGTAGAACTGATCATGGGATTTCAAAACAAAAAAACCCAAACATTTTCCAGCTTCTGGGCATGGATATTCACTGCTTGTTTATTCATGTATTTGCTTTGTAATAAAATAGTACTGTTCTCACAGACTGGTGTGTATGACCCATAAATACCTTTGTAAAATATATTTGTAGCATGGAACAGAACCTTTAGAATATTCTGTGAAAATTCATATTTTTAGTTGGTAGCACTTTCAGAACATTTACATCTTTCATCTTGACATTTTTAAATAGAATTTTTTTTTTTTTTTTTTGCCTACAGAAGTAAATTTACAGCATCATCACAGTATTATAGCTTGTTTAAAAATACACACAGCGTTACTGGTAATTGCAAGCAAGTTATATCCTTGAGCAGGAGGCTTGGTGGTAACTTTACATGGTTTCTACTCTGTAAAACAGTTACATCTATTAATATTACACCCATCACTTTGTTAGAAAATATGACTTAGAGATGCTACTCACGATAAATCTGTCGTTTCTCTGTGACATGATATTACAGGCTCTGCAAATAGAAACACACTGGGGAATGGTTGGTTTAAAAAGAATTGGAAGCCTGGTTAAAAAAGGGTGGTGGTCCTGCTCTGCCCTTGGGAAGCTGGGTGGGATGTCCTTGATCCACTTGTGGCTGGAATGCCACGAGCACCTCTCAGAAAATCCTGACTTAAATTTGGGGTTTGGTCCTGCTTGGAGTGTCACTGAAGACAGGAGCTGTTCTCCCCTTCAGCCCATGGTTATGTCAGTGCAGGACAACACAACTCCACTGGGTTGGATCAGTTGGTTTGCATGGCCCAAAATCTGACCATTTTTTGGTGGATTTTTAAAAGAGTCTGAGCAGCAGATTTGAACTTACTGATTTAGGAAATACGCAGAATAATGTTTAGAGTTGGGCAGGACTTAAAAGCCCATCCAGTCTCACCCCTGCCATGGCAGAGACACCTTCCACTGGCCCAGGTCGCTCCAGCCTGGCCTTGGACACTCCCAGGGATCCAGGGGCAGCCACAGCTTCTCTGGGCAACCTGTGCCAGGGCCTGCCCACCCTCCCAGCCAGGAATCACTGCCACAGGTTCCCCAGAGAGGTTGTGGAGAGATTAAAATGACAAAAGAGATTAGAGATATGTGACTGTGTTGGTTCTACTTTGCACAAATGAGACTAAATATATAAATATATATATATATATATATGTATAATAAAGCTGTAGGAAATCTCCAAACTGCTAACAACTCTTAGAATTTAGATAAAACAATGATGTATTTGCTTGGAAATCTCATTGTTGCAGTTCTTTCGTTATTTTCATTTCCAGGTAATTCAAGAGTTCTTTGTGGTGGATCCTTTTCTTTCATTTTTTTTTTTTTTATGAAAAAAGTCCAGGTGTGCTTTGGCAAATGCTCTTTTCGTGGTCTTTCTGATACTCCTCTTGTGCTTTCTGCAGTCTTCTCCCTCTGAGTTTCCACTTGTGGAAGCAGTAGGTTATTAGGGATGTCATCAGCAGGGAGAAGATGATGGTCAGCACGACGATCAGCGCGATGGTGGACGACAGGGACCCCTCCAGCTGCTCACTCTCAGTGTCCCTTGTTGTATTCAACTTAGCAAAGTTCTCATAGACTGGTGAAGCCAAAAGTGCAGGTCCAGGGACCTCTTTGAACCTGGGCCTCATTGGGATTCAGGAGCTGTTCTGGGAATTCCCAGAGAAGCAAGAACTATGATTCCCTTGGCACCTGTGTCATCCAGGAGATGGTTTCCTCCTCAGGTTCTCCAGTCATGGATGAGATCAAAAATGTTCTTTCTTTTGGAAGGCAGGGATTGCAGGAAGAACAGCCTGTGGCACAAAGTTTACAGCACAGCTCCTCTGTATCCCAAGTCAGGAGGTCAGGAATGTGTTGTCTCCTTCACCAAGGGTCACCCAGTGCCAGTCTGGGATTCTTTGTGTTCTGCAGAAGAGAATTGGAGAAAATCAAATCAATATTCCAGTAACACTGTGGTGGCAGAGCTTATCCTTGGACTCAAGGCACTGCAACAAGTGGACTTTATATCTTAGGAATTGCTGCACTGTTTCTTTTCTTCTCCCAGATATTCCCAAAAGAGGATGACGCCAAAGGCAGGTTTTGAGACTTGGATTTGCTCACATCACACACAGGAACAAAATCAGCTGCAAACAGGAGCTCTCATGAAGGGGTTTGATTTCCCCTCCTCTCTGATATTTGCTCTCAGACAGGGCTTGTCTGGAGAGGGTTTGGATTGAGGATTTTTGTCCTCCTTATCCTGGACTGGGGGAGGTGCCCTCACTGCAAATCTGGAGCCTGGAAAAGGCCCCTGGGTGAGAAACGACACTGGATTATTGAAGAGCTCCCCTACAGGCACTGAGCTGTAATTTAGAATTTAAAACCCCTCCTAATTCTGCTGGAATTTCAAACACATTTAAGTAATTTGGCTTTGATACGTGCTGTGTGTGATCCAAAATATTTCCTAATCTGAGCAGTTCTCAAGGGCTGCTCTGCCCTCCCACTTCCCTCCCCTCATCAAAATCCCCTTTCAGACTTAAATCTGAGGAGGAACAAAGCTGGGCTGCTCTTCATTCCTGCTCCACTCAGGCTTTGGCCCCGGGATATTTTACTTTGAGGAGCTCTAAGCACGTTCAGGGCTATTTATTTCAAATAACAGCTTGCTCTGAACCCCCTCCACCCTCCTCCCAAATGTTTGGAGGCCAAAATTAGGTTTCAGAGATCTTGGGAGTGGAATTGTTTGTTCAGAGATGCTCTGTTTGATGGGGTGCAGTTGTAATTCACCCTCTTTAAAGAAATGTGAGGTTCATCCCACTCAGGCTAGCAGAGAACTGAGGGTCCCTCTTGCTAATTAACAGCCCCTTCCTGGTAGCAATAATGACTGTTTATGTAGATTAGCACTCTGTTGATGTGAAAGGATGTAAATAGCAGTTCTTGCCAGTTTGGAACAATATGTTCCCAGAGTCAGAAATAAATGTGGCTTTTACAGAAAGTTTGAAAATCAGATTTTACTGTAAATTGAGGTGTTTGTGGAGCTGATTGAAAGTTCATTTCACATAAGGGACCAAGTACAACGTGGCACATCTTTGATGAATGTCTATGTGTGGCACTGCTGGCAAGTCATAGATCAGGAGGGGGTGACAGCAGAATATTTTAGTGCTCCTGGGCTACATATTCAACATCTTTCTCAAGTAGCCTAAAGAAAGAAACTGCAATAAAAGAACTTGAGAAGCTGAGAAATGCCCCCTCTGATTTATGGAGCAGCCAAGTGTCCACCACCCACATGGAAGTGCAGGAGGGGGGAATGTCTCAGTGCTAGGAGAAATCAGATCTTGTCATACTTGCCTGAGCCTGTCTCTCATTTCATCTGTATCCACAGCTATCAGAATCCTGTGGGGAAAATAAAATGGGAAGGATCTGAAGTCATGAGACAGCTGGTGCTGGACTGGACTGCTCAGGAAGGTGCAGAGATGTCACCTGTAACTCCCTTTCTCCATCAGTTCAGGGATGTGGATTTTCAAAAGCAAAACAGGAATGCTTTTAAAACCTTAAATCTGCAAAGTTCTGCTTGTGCTCCAGCTGCATTTTGGGGTAGGAGCTGCTTTTATGGAGAAATCCCTTCCAAACAGTGTGTGAGGGCTCTCTTGGTGGCTCCACCACCACCTCCCACCCTGCCTTTGCTTCCTGAGGGCAGAGAATGCTTCCTTGGGCACGGATGGTGAGCCAGGATGGCAAAAAGGGTGGGAGAACCCTCAAAAACTGCAACCCGTGGCTGCAGGGCCCCTCCTTCCCCTCTGCAAGGGCCAAGAAGGAAGTTCTATGGGAGAACTCTTGATTTTTCCTGGGAATCATCATGCCTGGGTGTCAGCTGGAAGTGGAAGGGCTGTTTGGGTGAACAAGGAGCTCCTGACACAGCCCCAGCGTGGAAAGGGATCATGCAGGGACAGTCATGGCTGATAATCCAGGTCCTTGGGATTCCAGACTGGAGAGGTGGACACAGAGGAACCTCCTGAAGTTCAACCAGGGGATGTGCAAAGCAAAGGGAACTTTCCCTTAACAACCACCTCCCTCCAAAACATTCTTCCTTGTCCATGCTCTGATTTAATTCAAGAGCAGAGAATAAATAATTCCTCCCGTGTTTTGTTGGTTTTGTGTGAGTCATAATTCTTCAGTGTATTTGGCCTGAGCATTGCAAACATGCAAACCAGGATTTCAGGCCTGTGCCCATTTAACTCCCACTAACATTTAATAAAATATCTTAGAAAGATTCAGGTATTGACAAAAGTAATGGAACTGTTTTGGTTGGTTTTTTTTTTTTTGTTTTTTTTTTTGGTCTGGAAATACTGATTTGTTAGAATAAACTTGTGAAAGCACATTAGAAAATCTGTGAGTTATATTTTTAAACCTTTTAATGAAATACTGATGTTTGAATTTGATACTTATATAAACTTGGTGTAGAACATGGATGGACTTCCCTACCCTGGCTCCTGTTTCCATGTCTTTTTGTTTTAGCACAGCTCAGTGTAAAGTGGGGAGGACAAAACCTGCTCCTTGTTTTCTAAAATCCTTAGGACAGGCATTGTCTTTCCTTTTATTTTCTGGGCTTGACCTCTGGGCCTCTGAATACTCCAACAAAGAAGAGAGAAATAGATTTTTCAGGGGGGTTTTTTTGGTAGTTTTTGAGGGTGGAAAGTATGAGTGGGTTGGATGCAATTTATGTGAGAGGAACAAAGCAAATTACAGTCACAAAAATCAGTGTCTCAAGATTAATTCAGGTTATTGGCACCTGTCAAAAACCTGAATTACTGAAAAGAGACAAGAATGTTCACCAGAAGCTTTTTGATTTCACTGAGATTGCTCTCTTTTCTTAGGGCTCTGTTTGCCAGAGCCTGGGTAATGATGAGGTTATGGGTGTTAGATTAAAGAGAGTAATGAGGATTTGCATTGGATGCCTAAAAAATAATAAAGTCAAAATAACCTGTGGGGATCAGACTCGTAGGATGTTTTAATTGTGGTTTGGGGGTCCATGTTTTGGGATAACTCTGCTGTCTGATTCTGTGTTTCAGAGGAAGGAGCGAGTCTGGTGATGTGTGGAATCTTCAGCCTCATCAGAAGGATGAAGGCCAGGAATCCCATGAGCTCCTGTACTTTCTTGTCCGTGGGAAGCTGATTTCTCATCCCTGACCTTTGGGGAACTCAGAATTCCTTTGGCTTCCCGATGCTGGAGATCAAGGTTGGTTGAGAAGGACCATTGAGGTTGATAAACCAGCAGCAAGTGACAAAAAGGTACAATACTCTTTCTGAAAGCCACACAAAAACATCTTCCCAAACCAAAGGTGATTGACCTGAAACTGTAAACCTGCTCCCTGTTAGTTAATATAGAAAATCTCTTTGATACCAGCAGCAGGAGAGTCTTGGTTTCTGTCTCTGTGTGTCTCTCTCGTGTTCTCATCCCCTCATTCTCTGTGCCAATGCTGAACTACTTCTACCATTTATATAACCCTAAATATATATTGATTTTTTAATACAGTTTCAGCCTTGCTTTCCTTTTGCCTTCAGCTTTCTTGTAAATCTGCCTGCTGCCTTTCAAATTGTCTCTTCCATTTTAATTGCATTTAGAGAAGAATGTGGCTCCTTTCTCTGAATTTGCATCTTTTTGATGTGAAAAACCTTTGGATGAAGGGTCTCCATCATTCTGGAAACCTGGGGTGTAAATGGCTCTTCCTCCTCCTCCAGAGCTGTGGAGCAGCAGATAAAAGGCAGAGTGGGAGTGGGAAAAAATGGAAGTGGGGGCAAGGAGGAGGGAAGGAGAAGAGGAAGGAATGGGAGAAGGAGAAAAGGCTTTGAAAAACACGTAATGAGATTTCTAGCCTTGCTGCGTCTTCTATAAACTCCCATGTAAGAACAAAGGGTTGAGGAGTGTTTTAAATATGTACCTATTTACACAGAAATATTTATCTTTGGCTGCTTGAAGTGTTTTTTTGAAATCTTAAGGTGGAAATCTCTCAACCAGGCTTCCTCCTTTCTTGTAGGATCTGTGTCCTTTGGGCTATGGCTTGTTCCAGAAAGACACTTCAGGGATATTTGCAGTGTCACCAGGTTTGTGGGTGTTAAACACCATAGATTTACCTGGAAAGTCCTCAAATCAAAAAAACGTCTTTATGCCTTTTATTTCTCTATTGTTAATCCCAAAAACAAAAGAGGAAAAATGACCTGGAGTAGATTTTCACACGTGGTCATCCTTGGAAATGGAATTTTCATAAGCCCCTTGTGATTACATCCAGTGCCATAACTGGCAGCTTAGATAAAGGTTCAAGCAAGGCAATTAATCTTTTAATGAAGTGTACAAAGTTCTAGCCCTGGTCTCTCCCTTCAGACTAGTTTTATCCTGGTGAACAAAAGCACTCTACTCTTAGCACCTGTTCAGCCTGTTGTGTCTTCATTACACTTGAGGTAAGAAGGGACTGTTTTCCTGGGCATTAACCTTACAGAGGACCCACATGGAGCTAATTCTGCTCTTAAGGTTTTAATTTTAATTCATTAATCCTTGAAGCATAAATTCATTGAAGCAACAGTGAATGTGTTTAGATCTGGGCTCTCTCTGAAGCTGATATTCATCCCACTGGTTTTATTGGTGACTTGTGGTAGTATGACATGGTAATTTAGTGTAACTGTGATTGATTAACAGAGCAGCTTTTTGAGGTGTGATTACAGCCTGCTTGTGACTGCCTGTTTTGGCAGATCTTTGGGCTGTACAAAGCCCAAATCCTTATGGAAGTTGCTGCTGCCTTTTAGCAGGAACAAACTGCACATCAGTCATCGACAGCACACCTGATGAATTCCCTCCTTAACCCAGTGTCTCTAAAAGGCACCTGGGATCCATGCTTTAGCCTTCTCGTCCATACAGTGAAAGTGTATTATCCTGAAAGTTTCTTCTCCTGAGCAGTGAAATCCTTGGCTGACATTTTTAGGGTGGCTTTTATTCCGTGCTCCCCACAGGTGTGTGGACTGAGGCTCAGCCACACACAGGAACACGTGAGGAAGGGGCACTGAGGTTTATACCTGTCACAGGCTTACATTGAGGAAAGAGGTTGCATTTTTTTCCCTTTGAAACTTGGAAAACAGTGCTGGATCAAAGTGCTGCTCTCTGAGCAGCTGAGCAGATCTCTTCCTTCATGATGTTCACTCAGAAATGGGCTTCACTGCCTTTTAAAAACTTGGGTGAGATTGTTTTCCTCAAAGCAGTACCACCATTCCTCCCTTTGGAGGGAGGATTTTCCTGATAAGCGGTTCCTGCTCAAGGAACAGGCTTAGATCATCAGCTAAAAAATGTACCCTGTGAAATGGGGATTCTTTTTCCCCTTTGAAATGGATCTTTTCCCTGATTTAGTTCATACTCTTTTCCTTTTTTATGCTGTTCTTCCCATACACCTTCCAAAATCAGGGGCAGTTGCATCCTGTGATCACAGAGAGGCAACCTGGGAATTTTTTGGTGTGTATTTGAAATGTTATTCTGTGTGAATACAAGCCCTTGAGTGAGCAGTTCCCAAGCCTACAATGAGCTTAAACCTGCTCGGTGATTTTTCCCTGTTTGCCTGTTTTTAAGCTCAATTTGCCCCAATGCTCTGGTTTGTTTTTTTAGAGCCACAACAAGGATTTACCAGTGCAGGTACAGGTGGATGTTTAATTGTTCCCTTGGAGTTAGAGGGTAAATGAAAACTGAAAGCTGTGTAGAGCTGAATTCAAATGAACAAACCCCAAACCTAAAAACCCCCTTAAAATGCAATCAATGGCCTTTTTATTTTCATTTTCTGTGCAGGTGAAGGAGGGTTGAAATGCTGATCTTATTGTGGTAGGGATGAACAGATTAGATCTGGTTTTGTGTCCCCCTCCCTATTTAATCTCTCCTCTCCCTCTATCTCTTTCCCTACTATAAGCAAGGAAAGCAGTTATGGATGGGAGGCTCTGCAGCCTTTCTCTTGGACCTAAAATCTGCCAAGATTAAAACTCCTGCAGGAATAACATTTTTTATTTTTAATATGCCAAAGAGCAAAAGATTGTTTGAACATTCAAGTTTTTCATCCAACTAATTTAAAAAGGAAACTCTTCTCCTTGCAGCCACTGTGGCTGTTCCTGATGAACAGGCACAGTCTAGAACTGCCTCATATTCAGTACTCAGGGATTTTCACCTTTCAAATTATGCAAGGAAAATAATAAGTGAAAGGGTGGGAGGGAGCAGGGGCTGGGAGGGGGAGTGATGAATGTCAGTTTAGAGGCAGCTACTTTGTGTCTGTACATTTCTGGAATCAAATCTCATTTCTTTTCTCACAGCACTCTCTCTGAATAGTCTTGGTGTGATTTGGGAGGTGCAGGAGAGCAGGAAACACCTGCCCTCCTCCTCACTGCCCCCCTGTCCCCTCTGAAGCCAGTGTGGGGCTCTGTGTGGCCAAACTGGTGTGCAGTGAACTGGTCCCAGCACAGAGGCTCAAGGATAGGTAAGGGGGGAGAAAGGAATGAAGACTTTAAGCAGTCAGTGCTTGCTGCAGAGACTTTCCTTTGAGCTCCAAATCACATTCCAAATGGGAAAACTTCTGTGAAATGCCTTTGGGATCAGTTAATGTGTTAGAGATCCCAGGACACTGCTGGTGGGAGGGCATGGGATGGGGGCATCATCTCCTGGGGGCGTGAGGGGTTCAGGAAGCACAGGGAGCAGGACAAGGTGTGGGATGGATGGGAAGGAGTGGGGGGGTCCCTGGAGCCCCAGTGGGGATGGAGAGGAGGATGCACATCCCATGAGAGAAGGGGGAAGGGGGTTCCAGGGCCACCTTTGTGCTGGTAGCAGGATGATGTGGGGCTGTGGGAAGGGGCTGCACCCAGGGGAGGGGAGGGGGTCACACCTGGGACCAGAGCAGGACACCCAGGGGGGGCCACAATGGCCCTGAGCCGGGCTGGGGGGCAGGGCAGCCCTGGAACCTGCTCAGGGATGGTGCCAGTCTGGCACACTGGTACCACAGTGTGCAGAGCCGTGCCGTGCCGTGCCAGTCCAGCACACCGGCTACCACAGTGCTGTGCCGTGCCAGTCCGGCACACTGGCACCGCTCCGTGCCGTGCCAGCCCGTACAGATACCACTCTGCCCGGGGCCGTGCCGTGCCAGCCCGGACACTGGCACCGCGCTGTGCCAGCCTGGCCCGGGGCTGTGGCTGTGCCGTGCCAGCCCTGCACAGGGTTATCGCTGTGCCAGCCCTTCTCGCGGGTACCGCGGAGCTGTGCCGGTCCTGCACGCTGATGGCACACTGAGCCGTGCCGTGCCGTGCCAGCCCCAGCGCCGTGTGCCGGGTCCCCCGAGTGCCCGCGGGGGCTGCGGGGCCGGAGCAGCACCGCAGGATGCAGCGGAGCATCCCCCGATCTCCCCCCGTGCCCGGCCCGGCTGGCCCCGCTGCCGCAGGCGCTGCCACTACCCGGGAAAACGGGCTTTGTTGGGAACCGGCTCATCGGGCACATCCCTTGGGAAAGGGGCACGCGGGGAAGGGAAGAACCCTTCGGGCTGTGCCCATTAAAAAATAGCGCCCGCTGCCCCCTCCCTCCTCCGGCTCCCGGCGAGCCGCACAAAGGATCCGTCGCAGCATCCTCGCACACTCACCCGCTCCGGCCGCATCCTGCTCGGCTCCTCCGGAGGGGACAGCGCTGCTGGAGCCCCGAGCCCCGCCGTGCTGGAGCCCCGAGCCCGGCCCGGCCCCGCTGGCGCTGCCGCAGCTGCGGGGAGGGAATCTCTCCGCACCCCCTCGGCGGCACTCTGAGCACAGCCAGATTTGTCAACTTTATTTAGGGGGAAGAACGGATCACATGGGGAGCTTCACCGAACTGGGAGGAGCGTGTTAGTACGGAATCAGGTCACTAACATAAAACCCGGAGTTGGTCACAGACACCCACGTTGATAGTGTCGGCATAAGCCGGGTTTAAAGAGCAGGCTGAGACAAAGGCAGGAGATGCTGATGGGAATGAAACGCTTCTGTTTTCTTCCCTTATCTGTGTCATTACAGGGTAATTTCGTGCTCCTTTTGTCGGGCGAGTTTTCCTAATCGAGTAAGGAGCAGAATGTGAAGGAAATGTTTTCAGCTTCCAAGTGCTTTGGAGCACATTGGTCCTGGCTGTCGAGCATTTCTACAGCCTTTTTAAAAATACATTTCTGAGATGCTTTGTCTCTGTCCTGCCGTGTTGTATCGATTTATTCCCAGAGAAAGAGATGCTACAGACTCATTCCCAAACATTCCCGTGCTCACAGAAATAGTCCAGGTTGAATAATTGCCTCTGACTCCAATCTTTTAATTTGCATCTCCTGCTCAGACAAAGACTGCTGGCTGATCCCTATTGTCCCACTGGCTGAGGAATCATTGTGGAATGTAGTTTCTACAGCACCTTTTTGTGTTCCCTGTCACTCATTAATAGATGGCAAAGCTCCCAAGGCAACACAAAAGCTGTCCCTGAGTGCCAAGGAGCTGGTTGGTGACAGGACCAAAGCAAGATCCCTATGACTTTTAATCTTACTGTTTATTTAATCACCCACACATTCCGAAGAAGCTGTGATGGATTTAGGTTATTTAGAGGCCAAAATTCAAATGCAGATTCCTAAATATGGATCCCTAAATACACACATCTCTTGTGAAGAAGTGGGCCTGACTTTTATAGGTGCTAAGCAACTGTTCTTCTGCATTTCCATCTGCCTTGAAGTCACATCCCACCCTCTGCCACTTTCCTCATGTCCACACTTGGAGAAAGAAATTAGCTTTGGAAAGTAGGCTACCTCATTCCTTTGCTTACAGAAATATCCTGCCCAAAGGAAACTCCATCCTAAAGATGGAGGGGATTTAGGAAGCAGAGGGATCGCCACGACAAAGCCAAGAGACCTGATGTGTATAGGGGAGTGTGTCACTGCACACCCAAGTATGACTCAAACAGTCATGGAACAAGTGGCAGCTGCCTACAGAGTGACTCTCCTTCCCTCAGCTTGCACAAAATGAACCAGCTTTGGCACTTAAAGGCTGAAACAGTCAAAATGTTGATCCTTGGCAACTTCTTAATGAAGCTCCTCTGGATCAGAGAGGACATAAATCAGGATACCACATCAGGGAAGCAACTTTCACGGTGGTGTGCATGAAAACACAACCCTGAATGCTTTGGTGTGCAGTGCAGTGCTCCCTGCAGAATAACTTCACATCCCGTGCTTTCCTCTCCCCAGCAAAGGGGTGAGCTGTGCCTGTTCCACCTCCTGCTTCCCGAGGATCCCAGAGGGATGAGGGCAGTGCAGCTGCTCCTGCTGGGGGGGGGGAATTGCAGTTGCAGTTGGTTCTTTTATAGGGCAGATCAACAAGGTGGAGAAAAAGCTCTTTGCATCTTTACTACAACCCAGGCCCGCTGGAAACACAGCCAGGACTTCCCTGTGCTCTCCACCAAACCGGGGCATTTCTCAGCTAGTCTGGAGGAAAACCCGGGCTTTGTTACCTGGAGACTGAGCTGGATGTGCAACTCCCATTTCAAGAGAGCAGAGGCCTGGTTTTCAGCAGTTATACCCTCTGTAGGCATCTTTTCTTCGGGTTTATTTTTTGGCAATCTTTCTGTATTTCTGGGTAGCAGTGGCAGGTAAAGAACAACCCTAACAAAGACTTTTACAGCCCCGGTTATCCCTTATTTATATTTCACCCCCAGGGTCTTTTTTCCTTACTGCCTGAAGTTTTCTGTCTTCTGCATCTCACAAAACTTTCCTTTTATATTTTTATACACTGCTTCTTACTGAAGTGTCTTATGTCAACTGGAAAAGCTATATATAATGTGTGTGTATACATGCATATTTATATATATGCACACATATACATATGCAAAGGCCTGGGAATACAAATTTCCACCGGTTTGCATCAGTGCAAGGGGAGTTTTTCCTCCAGTTTTATTACATTTACCTCTCCCCAAAGCTTTGCCTCTGAACTCATAACTAAGCCAATAAGGAATATCTGACAAGATTCTAATATATTTTGATGCTACATTGAATCTTTTCTTCAACTCCTTGTTCTTAATCCAGTGTGACAAATACACTCAAATTCCTCACGCTCTCAAATTTGCCACTTCCTGAATCTTCTCTGTTTTAAAGCTCACGGCAGGTCAGAAATTGTATCAGTCAGTTGGAAGTTTGTGGCTCTCAGGGGGCTGTGGAGGTTTACAAGGAACAGCTTTAGCTCCTCCAGGAAAACTTCCAGTCAGGGATTCAGTAAAGATTCAGTAAGACTTTAGGGAGAAATTCCAGGCTGTGAGGGTGGGCAGGCCCTGGCACAGGTTGCCCAGAGAAGCTGTGGCTGCCCCTGGAATCCTGGAAGCGTCCAAGGCCAGGTTGGAGCAACCTGGGCTAATGGGAGGTGTCCCTGCCCATGGCAGGGGGTGGAATGAGATGATCAGGTCCTTCCAACCCAAACCACTCTGGAATTCTACAATCCTATGCTTTAGGCCAAAGTGCCTTTGTGCTCATGATCTCTGGACAGGGAATGCTGTCCCAAGTTCATTGGTATGTTCAAGGCCTGGAAGGAAAATGAACTCCTTGAGAAGTTCTTCAAGCTCTGAAAAACAGCCCAAAGCTTCTCTCCCAGCCTGCACTGAAACATTCCTTCTTCATCAGTGTGGAAATCCCTGGTGTCCCAGTTGGACTGTTGATATTCCCATGGATGCTTCTATTTTCAAGGTTATAATTGGGATTTTTTGTTCAGATTGTCCTTTCTCTTAGAAATTCAAACTGCAAACAGTAGCAGCTCAAAGCCCCCCTGTGATATAGGTGTGTTGTGTGAGGGGATCAACCCCAAGGGGATGTTTTCTCCTCCTCTCCCTTCCCTGCCTACACTGCTGTCAAGGTGCTCTTCTCATGTAGAGATCAAAGCAGGGTCCCCCTTCCACCTGGGTGGGAAGGAAGGAATTTGGCTTTTCCTCAGCCAGAGCAGAGCAGGAACACAGTAAAAAAAAAAAAAAAGAAAAAAAGAGTTATTAAAAGCAAAGTTTCTCAGCAAAGCCAGGCCATCAAATTCCTCTTCATTTGCTAAAGTTATAAATATTGACTGCAGGGGAAGAGGAAAATTTAGAGCCAAAGAGAACGAAATGAAATCACATTATGCAGAAAGTTTCAGTGCTTGTGTGGAGTTGTTCTTCTCTCCCATCCTAACCGGAAGGTTCGGTTTTATTGGGAGAGATAAAATTTACTTTATAAAAAAATCAGTTACCAGCCTATTCCAGGATGAGTACACAGTGTAAAAATGGCTTAGCCCAGCACTGCTGATCTATCAGTCTCTCTGATTTTAATTGCATGCAGCCTGATCATAAAACAGGGAATGAAGTTTAAGATTTCTGAGGCATTGTTGGAATTATCAGGCTGTTCCACTATCTGAAATGGCTCCTGAAGAAGACTGGCAGTTGCTGAATTCTTTATTCCAGAAAGGAGGCAGGTGAGAGGGGCATGGTAGGAGTATATAAATACATAAAACTGAGGGAGGGAGGCAGAAATTCCTGATTAATCTGACAGTTTTTGAGAGCAAGGAGAAATTCTGTGGAATTGAAAGGCATTACAGGTAATATTAATGGAAGGAAGTGTGCCTGTAACAGAGCACAGAATTCCCCTGTGGAATTCACTTGTGCAGGTGTGCGCTGAGGTTGAAAGACTGGAAGGATTTCTGGGAAGGTGTCAGCGTCCTTGTGGGAATAAGAGCATGCAGAGTTAGCAGAGGTGGTTTTTATTGTGGCCTGGGGCTGTAAGACACACACACTCAGCACATGGAAAGAGGAAATTCCCTTGTGGGGCAGATTTCCTGTATTAATCTTTCCCTGGAAGTGTAACAGCATTTCTAAAAGCTTCTGGGTCTGACCAGTGTCAGAAGTCTGGGCCACATAAACAACGTGTTTGATGTGTACAGGGACTTTTCTCACCCTGAAACAGCTCTGGGTTTGTGTCTGCTGGGTGAGGAATGAATTCTGCTTCTGCACCAGCAATATAAATCTAGATTTTTCCCCTGAGGTCAACTCCTTCTGTGCACATCTACATAAATTTCCAGTCCTATCACTACTGACTAGAGAGCTGATGTGTTTCTTTTACCAGATCAAAACCTCCTGAAGAAAAAACTTGAAGCAAAGAATGGACATTCTGGAAATGTGGAATACAGTGCAGGTAGGGCAGTTTGTCTGGTTTTACAGTACCTGTTTCACAGCACAGGTCAGGAGTGTTCCAGAAGCTGGTGAGTTCTTTGAAATGACCCCGAGGAATCCCAGAATAGATCCCTGCCAGCACTAACATTGTCTTTTCTGGGATTTCCTTTAGGCCTCTCCTTGCCTCTGGTAGGGAGATGGTTCAATCACCAGTGGTGTCTCTGGCAGTCTCTCCAGAGTGGATGAGGAGTGGATGATGCTCTCACAAGTGGCACTTCCACGAGCTGTGCACACCCTGCTGTGTTTTCTGCCCGAGGTCCTTTCTTCCCACCTCTGAATTCCTTTTAAAATGGAAATGCAGCAGCTTTGGGAGCACAGGGCCCTGTTCAGCAGCTGCCAGACATGAGGGCAGCAGTCTCTCATTTTGTGGATCGAGCTGTGGCTGCCCCATCCCTGGAGGTGTCCAAGGCCAGGCTGGAGCAACCTGGGCTGGTGGGAGGTGTCCCTGCCCATGGCAGGGGTGGCCCTGGATGGGCTGTAAGGTCCCTTCCAGCCCAGACCATTCCATGGTTCTATGATTCTGTGACATCTCCACACATAAACCTCATGTTTTCTGCTTTCTTGTGCATCCATCTCTGCTCTCTCATCCCAGGCCAAAGGGTTCTTATCCCCTCCTCTTCTCTGAGCTGCAGTTCTTTGTGGACAGTTTGCCAGACCAGACGTGTAAGACTCTCTAAGCTCCGCATGTCTTGGGGTCTTTAGTCTTTCCCTCTGAGGTCTTCCTGCTTTTAGTCCTGCACGG